TATAAAAAAGTTATTCTACAAGAGAGAATTAAAAATAAAAAATTATTAGTATCTGCAAATTAGCGTAATACTATTTAAGAATTAAAGAAAACTCGGAAATCACGGATTTTTATAGTTATTGCATTAACGAAGTTCGTATTTAATAACTTTTCGATTGTATCAGAAAATCGGGTTGGTGATCGCCTCGACTTCTTATCTCTTCCAGTTTTACTTTACGCATTATTCTTCACATCTCAAATGTATCGATTCTTTTCTTATCTGTTGTTCAGATGGTCTATGTTCAGAGGCACAGCTAAATATTGGGAAAACCAGTGTACATGCAAGTATGATCTTAGTGTTTTTGCATATTTTAGTGAAGCAGGAATACCCATCTGTATCTATAGAATTTCTTGTTTAGTTTCCATTTTTATGGACGGTGCTATCTAGATAAAGAAAACTTCCAACTACTTTCAATTCTGATTGGTTCTATCGAGTCATTAATTTTCTCTTGTTTTATCTTATTTTTCTTTAACTCTTTTCGTTTGTCTAGTATCAATGTAAAATCTTCCTTACTGTGGGCTATAAACGTGTACAAATGTGTCATCGGCAAAGCCAAGATTGGACACCTTAACTCCACCTATTGAAATGCTTCCTTCCCATTCATCTAAAACAAGTAGCATTACCTGTTCACTATATAGGTTAAATAACGTTGGGAATAGCTTTTTATGGTGTGACGGTAGCTGTATAAGACACCAGGCTCAATAAAACGCAAGCTTAATTTAAATAAAAATATATTCTAATAAATAACAAACAAAATAAAATTTACTTCTATACAGTACGTAAGAAATCTCCAACCCATCATGTCCCACACGTGTTTAATTGGTATTGAATCGAGATTCATCACTAAAGACAAATCAATTCTATTCCTGGTTCCAAGTCAATCGTCTTGGGCACCATTCAAGACTATTACATCGATGTTGAGGGGTAGAAGGTAGCACCCAATGTGATTGAAATGAAAAAAGGCCAAAACTGCGGATTTCAACGATAAATTGTTCACATGTCAATTAAGATTCCATGTTTTGCAAACCATTGATTTGCAATATAGTATGGTAGTGGATAACCGGTCTCTTAGAGCCATCAATCTTAGGCGACGATCTTGATGTTGTCGATGTTCGCCGCTTCGGTGTGACCCTCAAAATTCGTGTTCAGTCTACTAAACTTAAAGTGAAACTTTTTATTGGTTAGCAAATTAACAAAAAATGATTTAAAAAAACAAAACCTATATAGATATTATTAAAATTCTAATTATTAATTTTGACAAGATAAGCATGTATACCTAATTTTATTAAAATAAAATAATGTATAAGCTATGAACTTGAAAAAGCTCACATAGGCGCAATGAAAAATGATTCATCACTGGCCATGGACATATATACGTCCATGTCACTGGCCATTAATTTTCCACAGTTTTCTGAAGATTTCGGTCTGACAAATGTTTGTTTACAAAAGAAATTGCTTAAAACAAATTGCATACAGGCTTTTCCACAGTTATGCGTTCTCAAATGGCTTTTCAAATTACTTGCTTCACCAACATGTTGTAAACAAATTTCACACTTTTTTTTCTCCAGTGTGCACTCTCAAATGTCTTTTCAAATCCCTTATTTTATTAAACTGTTTAAAACAAATTTCACACTTACAAGACTTTTCTCCAGTGTGAAATTCCACATGCTGTTTCAAATAATTTGGTACCGAAAATTGCTTAAAACAAATTTCACACTTATATGGTTTTTCTACAGTGTGGGATCTCATATGTTCTTTCAAATAAGTTGCCTTTTCTCCAGTGTGGAACCTCATTGTTTCAAATAACTTTGAAACTTTGAAATCGAAAACTGCTTGACGACAAATTTCACATTTGGAAAGTTTTTCTCCAGTATGCGTTCTCAAATGTTTTTTCAAGCTACTTGTTTGACTAAACTGCTTTAAAAAAATTTCACACTTATAAGGTTTATCTCCAGCATGTACTCTCAAATGTGTTTTCAAATTACTCGGTTCACTAAACTGTTTAAAACAAATTTCACCCTGGTAACGTTTTTCTGCAGTATGCCACCTCGTATGACTATTCAACGCACTTTTAAAAGAAAATTGTTTATGTGTAAAGTAAAATGTGTGTAAAAGTAAAATATGAAACAAATTTCACATTTATAAGGAGTTTCTCCAGTGTGCAGTCTCATATCATCATCATCAATGGTGCTACAGCCCTATGAAAGAGCCTCGACCTTCCCAAGTCTATTACGCCAGGCAGTCCTATCCATTGCCAACCGTTGCCAGTTTGCTGCGCCTATCTTTCTACCATCCTCATCTACACCATCCTTCCATCTGAGTTTTGGCCTACCCCTTTTTCTGCTTCCCACGGGTTGTGACATAAGGATTCTTCTAGGAGGGTAGTTCTGCTGTGATCTTGCTAGATGTCCTGCCCATCTTAATCTTCCTATTCTTATAAGAGATACCATGTCTTTACCACCAAATATTTGTTTATATCTGTGGTATACCTCGTAGTTGTATCTCCTCCTCCAAACACCATTTTCACAGATGCCACCAAATATTCCTCTCAGGATCCTTCGTTCAAATATAAGCAAAAGGTCTTCGACTGCCTTGGAGATGTCTCATATGCTGGTTCAAATTACTTATCTGAGTAAACTTCTTAAAACAAATTTCACATTTATAAGGTGTTTCTCCAGTGTGCGATCTCATATGTCGTTTCAAAGTGGTTTTCTGAGAAAAATGCTTAAAACAAATGCCACACTTGTAAAGTTTATCTCCAGCATGAATTTTCATATGTTCATTTAAATATTTTTTTCCAAACTGCTAAAGACAAATATTACATTTAAAATTTTTTTCTTTAGCAGGTAGAATCGTAGGTTATTGTTTGTTACATGAATGCATGTCTATTTTCATAATTTCCAAAGTGTCTTTCTCTTGGAAAATCCTAAAAAAAACCAAAATATATATAAAAAGTTATTCTGTAAGAAAAAATTACAAAAGAAAAGAAGTTATCAGAATCTGCAAACTTGAACAACACACAACAACATTCAAAACAACCAACACACTGAGGTCCATCCTGTCCAAATGCAAACCCAACAACACACAAGAAAGATAAAAAACTGCATCTACAAAATACCCTATGAATGCAACAATTTCTACGTGAGAGAAAGCACAAGACCACCAAGTATCATGGATAAATGAGCATGTAACATACATCAAGAAGAGACTTCGAGAAATCCTAGATATAAAAACATGCCTGGAACCATGAGCACAGACCACAATGAAAAGATGCATCAATAATAATGAAAGAAACAGACATGAAAAAGAAAAAGTCAAAAAACCAGTCCTTATCCTACTCAACGGAGAAAAATGTGTATCAAACCCATCAGCAGAATGTAGCAGTCTTTGGTTGCCAATACTAAAAGAAGAAGTCAACAAAAGGAATATACCAACAATAGCGGAGTAATGGGAGGTTGAAAAACATCATCCACAATCTTATACAAAATACATATGCAACATATGATAAACATAAACAACAAATCTATTTTTTGCTCAATTTGCATTACTTAACCACAATTTCGATATCTTATCTCCCTATATGTAAAGAACTAACTTATCGATGAAGATGAACGTTAAATTGAGAGTTAAAGTTTTAAAGTTATGCACTCAACGTAACGATGGTGTTGCCCTCATCGAATTAGTGATAAACTCATAAGTTGTCAGTGCCAGTCTTGTCCTTGTCCATATTTTTGATATTCAAATGTAGGTGATTGATGAAGAAGACGAAGACATAGCAGATGCCTTCTTCACATCTTGCATGTATCTTGCCTTGTAGAATCAACTGTAGAAGTTGGTATTTATCATTAAACATGATGTGGCCGAAGTAACCCAATTTTCTGTTTTTTAAGTGTTAATAATTTCTTTGTCTTTTCTTAGACTCTGGAGAATAGTGATGTTACTTATGTGGTGTATATATGAGCCCCACATTTCCAATTCTCCTAATCGTTTTATGGCATCTTCTGTAAGTCTCCAGCTTTCTACTCCATAGAGGAGGACACTAAAAACGTAACATCTAAGAATTCTTATGCGTATATTGATACTTAAGATAAGTTGCAGAGAATCTTCCTAAGGCTGTTGAAAGAGCTTCTGGCTTTTTCAATACGAGTTTTTATTTCGTAGCTGTGATCCCAAGTATCCTTAATATTGCAGCCCAAATAGCATATTTTTTCCACCCTTTGTAACGGTGTATCGTTCAGTGGCGGCTCATGGCTTAAGAGACGAGGTCGGCAAGGTATTTTTTGTCTCCTCAGATAGGTGTAATAAAGACTTCAATCATCATAGAAGGCTTTTTTTCTTTAAATTTAGAACCTAAACATGTTTATAAATTAATTCTAGTTTATGTTGTTTGGAAGTAGCAAAATGGGTTATAATGTCATCGTAAAATTTATTAGAGTTTTGGAGATACTTAAAAGTTTTTTTTCTATTGACATCTGAGACAAGCTTGACATTCGCTCTTGTTTCATGGGGTTTCGACAAAACGTTTTGATTCTTTTGAGACAAGAGAAATCTCGTTCATTTGAGGCAGACGTTGGTGGTAATATGGACAATAATTTATTAATTTCGATAACAGTTTGTTGTAATGAATTGCAGTTTATAAAATTATACATATCTTGTAACTTATCCCACCTTCCGAAAATATTTGGATTTTAATTTTATATTTGTTAAAGAATGATGGATAATTTTTAATTAACCTGTCTAATATATATCTTAGAAATTCTTTGGCGTAACTTTTAAATTTTGAATCGTCAAAGAGGTCAACAAATTGCAAAACTTCAAAATTCGAAAAACGAGTATCTATTTGCATAATAATAGTTTCCAAAATTTCAAAATATACTCGTTTTTCGAGATCTGTTTCTGTGTCATGCCTTTGTCTTTTTGGGGGGGTTCGGAAATATCAAGCGAGTCCAAAAGGTCACTGCCTACTGGAAATTACTATCATTACGAAAATCTCTGATATTTTGCACTAGTTTTGTTATTCTATTTTTGGAATGAATACTATCAGTTAAGCGATTTTGAACAACATTGAATATTAAATCGGTTTGGGTAAACACTTTCTAAAAATATTTAAAAGTATGTTAAAAGAGTAATCATTTAATAAGTTTTCAAACCGATTGCTTCACGGATCGAGATATCATTACTTTCAAAATCGTCGCATTCAATAAAAAATCAAAAACTTTCAAAAGCTGTTCACGAAAATCTGCTACAGTGAAAACTAACCGAGTTTTAAAATTCCATCACGTCTGACAAACTGTTAGAATTGTTTTCGAAACAACTGTTCTAAAACATTAGTCTGTTTAGGCGAACTTGAGAAAAATGAAGCAAATCCGCTTAAACTGCCAAAAAAAAGACATTTTTAAATTTTTTTACATGTATCGTGCAAAACTAAATTCATTCTATGCGCATGACAGTGAATAAATAAAGCTTGCGGTGCAATAGTTTTAACTTTTGCCTAGAGACCATTCAATTCACCAGACATCACGGCAGCGCCGTCATAATTTTGCCCTATCAATTTATTTTTGTATTGTTCTGAAGCTATTTAATTGTGGCTTATTCCCAGTTTAATAATAATTAATTTATTTTTGATATTAAAAAATTTTTATCTGTCCGTTAAAACACCAAAAATTTATTCTGCCTTTTAGCTTTTATTCACCTCTATAAAATCTAAAAGGCTCTCATAAATATTACCACGTAACGCGTATCGAACAACAATTGATAATTGTGAATGGCATGATATGTCGGTAGTTTCATCTATTTCTATATAGTGAAAAGCAAATGGTTTCATAAATCTCAGATTCAATAACGTTACTTAAAATATAACTAATTGATTCTATTAATTCATTCTGATTGTTTTAGATACACCGCTAAATGTCTTCAAATCAGAAAGTAAATTAGAAAATTCCAAATCGTATTTCTTAAACATCTTTATAATTGCCTTGATTTAACGAATGCTCCGATTTATCGTGTCCCCTAAATATTAATTCCTGACAACTTAAAAAAATTACAATATCAATTAAACAACGTAAAACTGCGTGATTATTTTTTACAGTTTCGCTTTAATAGCATTTTCACTTTGGGCATTATCTAATGAAACATAAATATATTGTTTTTCAAATAAATCTAATTTAATCTGGTTGTATGTATGATCTTTCGAAATATCATGTTTATGTAAAGCCCTAAATAATTCCTTTAAATTATCGTAACCAGATTCACACCACGGATTTTGATGCACCTATTTGTCGAAAATAAAATGCAAGGCCAACAGAAAAGTTTGTTTTTTTATTTCACTCACGGTAAGCCATGAGTACTTGCTAATACCAATTATCTGAAAATGATCTATTACTTCCCTTGCCCCCTCTGTACTAATATTTATAAGCCGGGTCATTTTAGGCAAAGGATACCCCATATTTTAATAACAATATGTTTTTAAGCTAGTTCGTGCACTCAATATCACTTCACTTCAATACTTATCACTTATCCATCCTCATCCGAATAACATATTTTCCCACGCTCACAAGGTACAGTTCACGACCAATCACCAATCCTTAAGAAACATCGGCCGAAAATCGAAAATTTAAGTACGCCGTACTTCGTATTCGTAATTAACTTCATATGGAAAGAAATGTATGTTTGGTTGCTCATCAAGTAATATTCCGTTGATTTTTACATGTAAATATTGTAAATCGTCAATCTTGGGATCGGCTTGCCGAAACCCTAAAACGTGACTATTTAAGAATTCACAGACGGATACATGTCTCCGATTTCGGATCATTAATTTGAAAAGTGTCTTACACAGGGATCACTTAACGCTCAGATTGGACGAATTCTTTTAAAAACCATGAATAAAATTTAGTCTGGTCGAATTGTTCTTATTCTTTTAAAAACCACTAATAAAATTTAGTTATTTCACAGATATTTTTTTATTTCACAGAAACAAATGACATCAACTGATTATCTGCCACAATTAATTATTGAAATACTGATTAAATTTAATATTAAAAAAAATCTATAATATCTATAAATGTGTGCCGGCCCTGACCGGCCGCCACTGGTATTGTTAATTGTAATTTGGGCGTTTATGGCGGTGTTCTTACTAATGATCATTATTTTTGTCTTCTGGCATTAAAATGCTGTCATTTCCTTTGATGTGGAAGTATTTACAGCTCTAATTGCATATTTTAATAAGCAAGTTAATTTATGACTTCAAATCAATCATAACACTGTATAACATAGCTAGCTTGTTTGGAAAAGTGCATCGCATAGCTTCCACACTTAACATCGAACTCACTGGATTTAAGATAACAGAAATCTATCCTTTAAATCCAAACATATGCACATATTTGAAATTTAAACGGTCCTATACAACTGATCAACCAATAGTGGAAAATGAAACAGGTAATCCCATCCATGAACAAAAAACTCCTCCACTTCCAAGTACTTTACCTATAGGGAAAATAAAAAATGGTAATATATCTTCACAAGATGCTTCTGAAAAAAAAAACTCTCTACTACAGCGGAGGTAAAAATAATCATATTTTTGGCGTGGAATTCATACTGAATAAACGATTGAAATCAGAAGTCATAGCTTTATGCAATAAGTCCAAGGATATGTAGAATTCAAATTATAAGACATTCTTTAATTACAGCATTATCAATATTAATCTCCCACTGAAGATAAAGAAGACGAGGAGAAGGACATATTTTGGAGACAACAATGTCAGCGAAGAAATTAAAAGAAGAATAAAGTGCTATTATGGCTTGAGGAAACAGATGGCCCAAAAACTACCCACAAAAATTAAAGTTACCATATATAAAACAATAATAAGGCCAGTGTTAACATACGGGTCAGAAACGTGGTCATTTACACAGAAGGACCAAGAATTGCTGAAATACTGCGAGAGAAAAATTTTAAGGAAAATATATGGAGGAGTCTAAGAACAGGGTTTGTGGCGTAGGCGCTACAACTTTGAGTTATACATAAGTTTTGGGGAACCTGACGTTGTAAAATGTATTAAATTAGCACGCCTTCAATGGATAGGACATGTAATTAAGCGAGATGAAGATGCAACAATCAGAAAAATTTTCGACTGAAGAGGACCAGTGGGAAGATGAGCCAGAGGAATACCAAAACTTAGGTATCAAGATAACATAGAAGATGATATAAAATTCATCGGAGTTAAAGCATGGAGAAGAGTTGCCAGAGACAGGTCGAATGGAAGATTGTTCTGAAGAAGGCTTTGGCTCACAACGAGCTGTAATGTCACTGATGATGATGCTTCTGAGGAACAGAAAGCAAGTGGACGATCTGGAGACTATATTAGCTTTTTTGAAAACAGTTGGAGAATTAAATAAAATGAAACTTTATTCACTGCAGCTTCAAATCCAGAGGTCGTTGCTTCAAACCATAAAGTTGACATTACAAGCTATGTAGTTGGTAATTGAATAGTGTTCTTTCCCTCCACACATATTTTATATTAAGTATTTTTTATTATTTTCCTTTTATATTTAATTCTTTAATTAACATTTGTGTATGTCTTATATATGTAAATTAATATGATCCTGTAGACACCGCCCCTAGATACTTAAGGGATGTGAAGCTTTTTGGCATACTCATACTCAGTATTACAATACAAGATCCCACTGCAGTAGTACTACTTTCATAGCATAGTTAGTTTGGTCAAACTAACATTTTTATATTTTTTAAACTAACATATATTTCAAATTACGAGAATATGTTGATACTAGGTTGCCAGTCAAAAAGTGGCCGCAAATATTTTAAATTCAATTAATAGTAATTAGTGTTAGACAAATATTTTATTTCATTCATTTATTTTTTAAGTAAAATATGTTGCTTATGACTATATGCATGTTTTTTATTTATTTATTTATTTACGGGATGTCCCCATTTTTACAAAATTTAACAAAAATAAAATATGCTAACCATAATACAAGTACATACTAAAACTAAATATTAAATAATGATTAAATTAAGTAAATTAAATTAAATTTTCTGAAGATCTTAATAAAATGAAATGATCTTAATAAAATGAAATGAATACTCCAAGTTAAATGTGACTCATCCTTGATTCCTAACATACTCAGTCAAACAGTGCTTAAATCTTACAGATTTTATATCCACCAGATCATGAGATTGGCTAAAGTCTTTTCCCAGGATCTGAATCCTATTAATAGGAGAGAATTTGCCATAGTTAGTGTGATAGTGTTTTATAGAAAACAAAGGCATGTCTCTAAGAATTCTAGTGTTACATCTAAAGTTGATCATCATCATCATCAGTAGCTCGACAACCCTTTCTGGGTCCTGGCTTGTTCTAGGATTTTCCGCCATTCTGTTCTGTTCTTTGCTTTGTTTTTCCAGTTGGTAATCTTAAGTGTTTTCAGGTCTTGTTCCACTTGTTCCATGTATCTAAGTTTGGGTCTTCCCTTTGACCTTCTCCCTGCTGGTGTTTGCCTCATTATATGTTTTGGCGTTTCAGTCTCTAACATCCATTCAACATGACCCATCCAGCGCAGACGTCCGATCTTTATGGATGTTACGACCTCGGGTTCATTGTATGCTGTGTATAGATCAAAGTTATATCTTCTGCGCCATATGTGTCTAAGGATTTTTCGTTCAAATGTACCTAATAGGTTCTTATCGCTTTTCGACAGTGTCCACGTCTCTGATCCATATACAAGGACTGGTTTTATCAGGGTCTTGTACATTCTGCATTTGGTTTTTCTTGTGATGTTGTTAGATCTTAGATGTTTAATTAGTCCATTATATGTTTTATTAGCGATATGTATTCTTCTCTTAACTTCTTCACTGATATTGTTATCTGCAGTAACTAGTGAACCCCTAGATATGTAAAACTGTTCATGATTTCGATGTTATAGTCTCGTATTGTCAGACTCTGTAGGTTTCTTTGGCCTGATTTACTGGCCTTCATGTATTTGGTTTTTATTTTGTTAATGTTTAGGCCACTTTTTTGTGCCACTCTTTCTATCGCATTAATTCTTTGTTAATTCTCATAATTATTATCGTTCTGAGGCTGTTTTCTTGTGGCATTTAAAAGTAATTAATATTTAAATAGGAATAAGCCACAGTTAAAAGTTAAAGTATGTTTATTGACATTTCAATTTCCACTTCGGAAATCATTCTCAGAATACAAAAAAATAAACATACTTTTAATTGTGCCTTATTTCTATTTAAATATTCATTTCTCATAATTATTGAATACAATTAACAAATATCTATTTCCAAAGTTAGCACTTCAGAACAGAAATGGGGCAGTAAAAGCAATGAAATTCCATCATAGCTGGAGGATACTTTTGTAACTCCATATGATATATCTCCACTACCTAAGGCGCCTCCTCAGACAAGGAGTTCAAGACCTTCCCAGGATCAAATGTTTTTACATCCACGCCAAATTATCTTTTGATGAAAGAAAAAATGCCACAGCCAACTTCTTAAGCAGCTAGAAATGTCGGGTTAAAGTAGAAAGATGTTTAGAAAAAAAGACATGTTATTTTTATTTTAATCACATACTTAAGACATAAGTTTTTCAAAAAAATATGTTTTGCTATACTCCTCTTGTTTTTTGTTTTTTGCTATTTTTAGCCTAAAAAATGTTACAAGAACCATTTGGCCCACTCTCCCTTTTAATGCACTATTTTTTCTTACATGTTCTGATTTAAATTGTTGTGAATATCAATATCACACAGAATTTATATATAATGATAAAAATGTGAAAGTACTAAGGTATATGCATTCTTATTTTCTTACCCTTTTTACTATTTCCTTTTCTTCCAGTGGCTCTAGTTCACTTTCATTTTTGATTTCAGTCTTTAAAGGGAATTCCTTTAAGTCTAAATAATCAAATGAACCATGTGCACTTTCTTTAATGAGCTTCTCTTCACTTTTAAAGCTATCTAAAAGAGCACCATCCACTTCATTAGAAAATATTTCTATTTTACAGATATCTTCACTAAATTCTTGTTTTACTTCCATTTGATAAAGCAGGTTTTATATTTCAGTTCAATAATAATTTTACACTCATAAAAAAACTTTATTGAGCTTCACTTCACTTTTAAAGCCATCTAAAGAGCACCACCCATTTCATTAGAAAATATTTTTATTTTACAGGTATCTTCAGTAAATGTCCTTCTTGTTTTACTTCCATTCGATAAACCAGATTTTATATTTCAATAATGATTTTAAACTCAAAAACAAACTACCCTTTTTAAGTTTATTTACAAACTCAAGGAAGAAGGAACTCAAGCGATTGCGATATGAAATATGATGAATCAATATGTGTCAATGTCAATAACCATTAACCAATAACCAAAGAATTCTTTGCAATAACCATTGCCATTGGCCGGATAAGAATGTCAAAATTACCCCAGTGGGTGGCCAGCACGTGCCTAACGGAGGGTTAAAATTAAAATTATAAAAATATTGATTTATTTCTGAATTTTGCAATTGGACAGGTGGAGAAAGTCGTAATTTGTTTTCGGGTCTAAAATCATTATTGGAATATAAAACTTGTTCTAAACAAATGGAAGGAAAACTAGATAGTGCCGACACCTGTAAACTAGAAATATTCGCTGTGAGTTTCGCCGGTAGCGCTCCCTTGCGGTTTGAAACTTGTACTTTTCTTGTAAAATCAGTGTAAATGAAATACGACAAAACGAGAAAAATAGATATTTATTTAAAAATACAAGATAATGAACTGAAATATTATGGTAAACTGATTACTGAACGAATACACAGAATTAATAGTAAAAGTAATTACGCCTTGTTATTTTATTCATTATAATTATAATATTTAAGATATAAGTTCTTGCGACTGGATGACTACTTACGCAAGAGGTCATTGAGAAAAAGAAAAAGTTTATATAAAAATATTTAATGGTTAAAGCAAATATTTAAGGTTATAGGCGCTTAAAACGTCTATATTCTTTAGTTAAAGGTTACCTTTACCTCTGTAACGTTGTAATTCTTGTTTTTTATTTTTATTCTGTTTTTGCTCAGTTATTTTTTGTGTGCGTAGGCCTTAGTGCTTAGATATCAATTTGTTTTAATTCTTCTTCTTCTTCTTTCGTTTTATGGCCTCCACCTCTTAAATTTGTTTTAATTTTATCAAAATGGATATTAAACATTATACTGGTTTTAAGTCTATATCACATGATATCCCATTTCAACCAGCTACACCAAAAAAGGGAAAAGGTTTAGTTGATGCGGGGCATGTACGCAATGTTTCGGAATATAATAGCTTTTTAATTTTACACCATTCAAATATCTTGTTTGCATTATAGGTTATTTACTTATTTTTCTCATTGATAGCAATAATCCATTTTTCTCTTTGAACTATTTTATGCTTGGTAACAGGAAATTAATAAAATTTACAATGACTGTTTTACCCAGTATTTTTACATGTATCATATATTTTTCTTTTTGAAAAATCCATATTCGCCATTATTTGAATGTTTACAAGTTAAATGCACAAAACTGCCACTAACAGCGTTCGTGAAAACTGTCAAATCCCCTCTACTCATCGGCTCACAGCGAATATCCTAATAAGTTAGATGATGCCTTTTTAGATAGATTTAAAAATGAAATTAAAGAGGAACCCAATAGAGAAAGTACACATGATACATTTGATTGTTTAGACTTAAAGGAATTTTCCATAAAAACTGAAATAAAAGTTGAAAACAAACTTACACCATTTGAAGAACAACAAAATAATAAAAAGGGTAAGAGAGTAACAAACATTTTATTACAAATATTCCCAATGAATATAGATGTCCCATATTCTTTGGTATTTCATCCAATCTTGTATTTACTACAATTTAAATCTAATCAGTACAGGACATTATAATAAAAAATTACAAATAATGTGTAATAGCGTTGATTGAATAACCCAAAATATATTCTTATAAGAAATATGAACCATCAATATAAAAACCAAAGAATATACTACAGTAGAACCTCCTTCTATGTCAAACTTTTATGGAGATCCTAAAAAATTTGAGTTATAGAGGATGTTGACTTTAAAGTAATTCTTACTAATTTTGAGTGAAAGAGATAAAATAAATAAAAATTCAAGTTATAGAGGTGCATATTAAAAATTAACATATTATTTCCCTGTCTATAACATTGTCTAAGGTATAAAAAGTAGAAAATTTTCATTCTTCAGAGTTGCGGTTTGCTCTATAAAACTCTGTAAAATATTCAATGTTATTCTTGCCTCTTTGACGGGAACGCATGAATCACATGTCATATTATTATGTCTTTGATATATAAATTATTAGTATCTGTTTTATGAGCTATTGGATCAATAATTTCGTCATTCGATAATGTCCCAGCAGTTGTAACTCCATCACTGCATGTAACAAAGTACTCAAAGGATATTCTTGATTCAGACACCACTTTATTCCTTTCCACAGGAGGTGAAATAGACACATCTTTGGTTTTAGCTTCTTCGATTGATGATGCTGATGATGGAAAACCCCTGTGTACATAACAATTTGTTATTGTAGTCAAGTTAAATTTCTCCAAGCTTTATCAACCGTTCTCATGACTTTCAATACATTGTGGTATTATCCCTAAAATATTATAATTCATATAAAGAATAAGTTAAAAAGAAAACATGTAACATAGTTTCACATTTTGTTTATATAAAATATGTTTAATAATTCCAATCGAGGACATTCATAAAATAGCCTCGAATTAGAATGTGTAATTCAGCAGATTTGCTTATCAAGACATACAGTTGTCATAGGTCATTAAAACAAACTTGACACACTAAGAAATAAACTGCTGATATATGCAAGGACTATTATAAAAGAGACAATGATTATTATTTTGGAGATCAGAACTAATTTGACGTCAAGATGGCAAGTTAATGTATCGCATATTGGTAATTATGAAGTAGTCTCATATCAACTTCAACTAAGTACGAACTATGATTAGAATAAGTAATGTTATATAAAAGTGTACTGTTGTCTTCCAAATAAATGGTCATCTAATTTAATAACCACTTTATTTACCATTATGACGTTATTTACCATAACATCTATAGTAAAATTCTTTTTTTCTTCCATATTATACATGTTCCTGACAACTTTTCGATATACTTAATGATTTAAAGTTTTTAATGATACCTTGATCCATAGGCTGTAATTTTGCTGTGGTGGGTAGATATTGGATTTTAATTGCTTTCATTTGTGGAATATCATTATGAGCTGTACAATTATCAATGAATAACAAGATTTTTCCTTTTTCCTTATCCATTTTCTTATCAATATTTATGAGCCAATTTTTTAAAATTGCAGAAGTCATCCATGCTTTTCTATTTACTTCATATTTCAAAGGTAGCGATTGACATGTTGAAAAACAATGAGATTTCTTAGATTTACTGGACACTAACTGTGACAATTTTTCTGTGCCTGACATGTTTGCTACTAGCAGAATGGTCAAACATTCCTTGCTATGCTTCACACCGAGGCACCTATCACTTTTAAAAGTTAAGAGTCTTATCAGATTGACATTTAAAAAACAGTCCCATACATTAGCATTGAAGATATTATCAGGTCTGTAACCATGTAACAAATCTTGCAATTCATTTTTCTATTTATAACAGGTTTCAATGTTGACACTTGTACTTTACCCACAAACTTTTTTATAAACAAGTCCATATCTTCTTTTGAACTTTTCTAACTATCCGTTACTGGTCCTATGCACAAGCACATGTCATATTATTCATGTCAATTTACTACTGTAGTAGTGAATTCAGTAATATTAGTCATAGCAATAAAAATTGCCAGTGCTATGTGCTGGGTTGTCTTCTGTTGATAGAGCTACGATCTTGTAGACTTTATATGTTGGCTAAGATTTGCTGTTTTAGTCTTGTGTGCTTCCATCGATGGAACGCAGCATATCTTATTATCTCTCGCAGTATCGAGCTTGGGTGGTTTTCTAGCTCAGGAAACTTTGTTCTGGCTATTTCTTCCACTATGTCTGTCACCCTTACATCAGTTTTCTGAACAGGAAACATTCGGAACTATATTGGGGTATATTTACCGCTTCTCTGAGGCTGTTATTATGAGCTACTTGTATCCTTTTTTTGTTTGATTTACTTATGTGTCCCCCAAGCGAGAGATGCATATCTCTCTATTGGAAGTATCATGCTGTTAATCAGTCTTATATTCGTTTTTAGTCTTAATTTGCTTTTTTGAGTCCCCTTATTATTGTTCTGGCTGTGGTTGTTTTTTGGATGTTTTGGTCCACATATTGCGTGAAGGTTAGTCCTTGATCCATTTTGTACGCCGATCGTCTGGGGTTTCTCTTCTCTTTTTAAACATGACTGCTTGAGTTTTTTCTGAGTTGATGGCTATTTTCCATTCTTCTGTGTTATCCAATGCTGTCGGTAAGTTGTTTACAGCTTCATCAATGTTTCTGTGTTTAGCCGCAATTGCTGTGTCATTCTGCGTAAATACTGAGAAGTGTTCCTGGTGTTCTTGGAACATCGGCGCTGTATATTGTGTACAGCAGAGGTGACAGGACCGCTCCCTGTGGCACTGTGACTTGTCCTATCCGAACCCTAAATCTCTGGCCGCTCAAGTACGATGAGATTAGTCCTGTCATGGCTCTGCTGTATCCATAGCTTCTCATTTGGTAAGTCAGTCCTTCAAGCCAGACTCTGTCGAAGGTTTAGCTTACGTCCAGGAAGGCTGCTCCTGTATACTGATTGTCGTTGAATCCAGCTGTTATGTACTCTGTTAATCTGAGTACATGTAGTTCGCTGGAGTGTTCTGCTCGGAGTCCAAACTGAGCTTCTGGGTTTCTAACCTGTCTGTTTCTGATTGCAGTCTACTTAGTATGACTCTTTCTACAATTCTTGGGAAGAGCCTGTATCTGAGTATCGCATTTGTGATGTTTGTTAAAAATACAATTGCTTTCGCTGGCAGATATTTTATAGCTCTGTTTGAAATTCCATCTAGACCAGT